CTTGCAGGGCAGGTCCTCCAGCATCTGAAGACCTTGACCCTGCAAGAGTCTCTCAAAGGTGAATCAAAAAGCAAGAGACTACTGTTTAGCAGAAGGGTGAGGAGGTGCAGGAAAAGTGTAGGGGAAGATGAAGTCTCGCCACCTTCCCCTTCTAAGGATTCTCAACAAAATTAATATCAAGCTCAAACCCTGCAGCAGCAGAGCAGGTCGAGGTCAGGGAGAGGTAGGGTTAAACCAGGACTAGAGTGTAACAAGGCTGTGATATGCATATGTTTATGGGACAGTTAAATTGTCTCTTAAATCACCTCACCAAAGGCACACTATCAGATCAGACATGCCCGTACCTGAGCTACTCACCGAGGCTTGCTTCAGAGCTCATGGAGACAAACAGGCTCTTCCCAGGCACAGCCAGGGATGAGCACAGCTCACCTGCAGACTGGTCAAGTCCTTCAAATGCCAGTTTGTCCCCACTGACTCAAAAGGGAGCTGAGGGTGAGTGTTTAGAAGTGGATGTCTTCCCTGAGGACATCTATACCCTCCCCCCTTCACCTGCCTGGGAGCAACCCGCTTGTGACTGCAGGAACAACACGACCTGTACTCCCTGCTCTTAACCTTCCATGTTCAGAGGACTTGCTGGATCAGCCCCAAAGCATTATGTAAAATGGCTGTGATGTGTATATTTATATGAATCATATACATTAATTACATAATAGACACCCATGCTCCCCATCCCACATGCACTTTGGTTATGCATAGGACACAAAGACTGAGTGCATTCACTATGAATCATGCAATAAGACTACATCCCTCAGGCAAACTCTCTCTAAAATGACCATTTTCACATATATTCCCATGGTTTCCACTACAATATTATTTAATTAAGGATATTAATCTGCTGGGCCACCAACTTTCACCATCTTCTGGGGAAGTCTGAGCAGACAGACATTTTAATAAAACATGGGGAATCCTGCTCTTTTTATGACTGAGTTGGTGCAATAAGGTAAGGCAATTTCATGGCCTCTTGAGCTTGGTTTTTTTTATTTTTGATATGAACATGAGACTTACGGACCGAGAGATCACTCATTCAAAAGTTGCATAAAAGATGCCACATAATCTTTTTTTGCTTTGCTTTTCAACTAGTGCTGTTGAATACTGCCCTAATACATGGGACACGTCAATTATTAGTTGTAGGACAGTGCAAACAGGACACTGATCCCCATTTGGAAAATAAAAGATGAACACTTTCAGTTTGAAAGCCACGGGCACACATTTACACGTGACTGCAGCATGCATGCAAGCATGTCAGTTGTGCAAAGAAATCAGTCTAGACACTGACAGGACCAGTTCAGCCACATTACTGCAGCCTGCCCAAATAACTCCTCAGGGTTACAGCCTGCTGCCCTTTTCCCCTCTCCCTTGGGACGTGGAACTGCATGTACTGCTATGGCAGTTCCCTGTCACCTCCTATTCTATAGCCCCAAACCTCTTCTGATGCTCAGCCTAGTCTGGGATTCAAACACAGGTGGTCTCATCACCAAGAATCAAGAAATCATGGTTGGAAAAGACCATCGAGTCCAGCCGTTAACCCAGCAACCACCATGTTCACCACTAAACCATGTCCCTAAATACCTCATCTACACGCCTTTTCAACACTTTCAGGGATTGTGACTGCACTAGTGCCCTGGGCAGCCTGTTCCAATGCCTGACAAATGTTTCAGTGGAGAAATTTTTCCTAATACCCAATCTAAACCTCCCCTGGTGCAACCTGAGATTATTTCCTCTTGTCCTATCCTTGTTGCCTGAGAGAACAGACTGACTCCCACCTGGCTACAATCTCCTTTTAGGGAGTTGAAGAGAGCAATAGGTTCCCGCAGAGCCTCCTTTTCTCCAGGCTGAGCCCCGCCACAGCTTCCTCAGCTGCTCCTCATCAGATTTGTGCTCCAGACCCTTCTCCAGCTCCATTGCCCTTCTCTGCACTCGCTCCAGCATCTCAATGTCTTTCTTGAATTGAGGGGACCAAAACTGAACCCAGGATTCAAGATGAGGCCTCAGCAGTGCCCAGCACAGGGGGACGGTCACTGCCCTGCTCCTGCTGCCACACTATTGCTGACACAGGCCAGGAGGCCACTGGCCTTCTTGGCCACCTGGGCACACTGCTAGCTCATGTATCTAATCCCAGGATGGGGGAGGAGCACCACTGCTTTGGTCATGGGATGAGTGTGTTTCTGGTCAAGGGAGAACCATCAAAAGTAGCTCTTGAGGGTTGCCACTGACAATAAAACCAGGAGCTACTCTTCTGGAGGACATTATTGCTTTACTAGATAGAATATTTTCAACATGTGGGTGAACATAACTTCAGCAGTTGTCCAGGCAGAGCCATGGAAGCTTGTAGAAGCTTGTGGGTGGGTGATGTTAAATTGTGGCAGATAGGAAGTTCTGTGCCTGTAGGTGTGACAGCCAAGGCCTAAGGGGGAAGTTTTACCCATTTTTCCTCCTGCATGATGTTAAGCAACAGGCAGTAAATATGGCATTCATTAAAATGACCTTGTATACTTTTAACAGCCTCGATAATCAGATTTCTGCCACTGTATGGGAAAGCAAGGTTGTTTTCATTCAAGGCCTTGTAAAACTCTAATTTCTCCCTCATGCATCAGAGATGCCTGAAGTTTTCTAAGGATTTTAGTGTTTCTTAGCAGTCATTTTCTACTCCCTTCAAAGCTCTCTTCTCTTCTGAAAGATGCGTCAAGTAACTGACTGGAGATTTGCACATTTCTCCGAGTGTGAGGGATGAACTGGCAGCTTAAAACTTGCATTTCTCTCTCTATTTAGACATAGGAGGGGCCAGATTCTGCCCTCCATCCCTGTGACACTGCCAGGTAGAAACCCTTGAGAGGAACCGCAGGGTTTGCAGCTGGGGCTGCAATGTGCCTCCTTGCATCCCAAGCATCCAAGCTGGTCCCTCAGCCCAGAATGGCGCTCTCTAGTTCTGAAGAGAGAATTTCCATTCTGAAATTCTATTTCCATCAGCAAACACTGTAGACAACCTCTGGCACTTGTGGAAGATCAAAGTCCCATTTTTCAGCCTGGAATCTAACTGGGTGCAGGATCCCCACGCCGGGAAAAGGTAAGGGCATTGCAGAGGCACCAGTCGAGCCCCAGAAAGGTGAAGGACAAGAAGCGCGAAGGGAACCGACTGCAGAGTACGGCAGGAAAGTTCAGTCTGCGGCCACACAACTTACACAGCCAGGTCTTTTAGTCATTCTGCCTGTGCCCACATGCCAGGCACTCACGTCTGAATACACACAGACAAGCAAGGGCTGCAGGGCAAGCATGCGGCGTACAGCTGCCAGGTCCCAGCCGAGCCTCTCCTGCAGGTATTGCTGCGGGCACAATTGCAAAAATAACCCATTCGACAACACAGACCATCAGGAGGCTCTGACTCAAAGGGAACCTGTTTCGGGCTAAACAAAGCATTTCCTCAGCATCAAGCTGATCGGGTTTTTTGACCCAAGTCAGCGCGTTGCACGGAGAGCCCACAGGAACCTGCTCCACCACCCTCAGCCCACATGGAGATCTTTGGCATCTCTGCAAGGCAGAGTGCACTATGGCTGCAGAGGGTTTTGCAGCTGTTTGTTTGAGAAACAAAGCTTCCCTCCTCCAAGATGAAAGAAATCAAGGAGTCTACGCTAATCAAATCCTACACGCCTGCTGGCTGCAGTTCAGCTTGTCAGGGATGCAGCTCAGTGGAGTGATCAACATTTCCAGTGCTATGAGCTCGGTGGAAGGGGAAAACACGACAGCAAGAAATTCACCTGGCTCGGAGTCAAACAGGTGTATGGCAGCAGCATCCAAGATTATAATAATATCTTGCAAACATGCAAAAAATAGATGTAATAAGACTGATACTTTGGTTTTCATTAATGAATCATAAAGGCTTTCTTTACATTACACATGCTTTTTTGGCATACACTGCTAATATTTCCACACTTGCAAGGTTGGATTTTTAATACTGAGCCTCCCTCCCCTAAGGTTCCCTATTTTTGGCAAGATGTACAAGGTGACTGTATGCCATGACAGGCTCTCTCTTACTTTGGGGCAATCAGATTACTTTACACAGATGGTTTTATCACTGAGACCATTAGAGATGAATTGCGCAGTATGTAAACGTGCATTTGTTTGAATAAAGAAAAAAGGTCTCAGTTCCTCACTGCTGTCTTTTCTATGTTCTTAAACATATTTCCTCTCTCCTGCATCATTCCAAAGGACAATTTGTCCAATCTTTACCTTAAAGTAACTCAGCTTGTTTCTGATAGGCATCTTAAATACACATTAACTAAGGGAACAGGCTTTCTTGAGCTACTGCATTGAAACGCAGGAGAATGAGCCTCAGCCTTAACTATTGAGGAAATAAGGGCACCTATCTGTCAGGATGCCTAACATCACACACCCCACAAAAGTAAAGCACAAAGAAATAGAGAATATCACAATTAATTTAAAACATAGAATCACAGAATGGTTTGGGTTGGAAGGGACCTTAAAGATCATCTAGTTCCAGCCCCCCTGTCATGGGCAGGGACACCTTCCATTAGACCACGTTGCTCAAAGCCCCATCCAACCTTGTTTTGAACACTTCCAGGGATGGGACATCCACAGCTTCTCTGGGCAACCTGTGCCAGTGCCTAATTACATGCAAATAATCATCCTCTGGTAGGGGAAATAAAAAAAAAATAAAAAATTGTTCATAGAATCAGGTTTACAACTTAAAAATAGCCTGATCTGAAATGGACTTCGATTCATTCAAGTGACACATGCTCAGAACAACACAGCAGCATTTCCACCTCAAAAAAAAAGGGACTTTGACCCCTGTCTGCCATGCAGAAACCCTGATATCACTGCTAAGCTTTGCTCTCCTTGCTAAGGTTTGTCTGAGGCCACGGAGGCAGCCGCTGCCAGTCCTGTTCCTCTCTGTGTAATTGTTTTAGGCAAAACACAGTCTTTACCTGAGAGGCGTCTGGGCACATCGGTAATGGCTGGAAGTCCTGTGCCTCGAGTGGAGGACAGGGGAGTTGTGGAGTGAATGGACGGTGAAGTCATCTGGCTCAAGTAGGATGGGTAAGACTGGTCATAGGACCATGGCGGGGATGACTGCGCCTGCCTGGGGTCTAGGGAAAACAAACAAACAAACAAAAAAAAAAAAGAGAAAAAGAAAAAAAAGAAAATTTTTTTTAAAAGGAAGAAAAATTTTAGGGTATCAACAGCCTGACTGAAAGAAGTGGGGTTACTGAACATACATACATCAGTGCTACAAGGAATGAGAATGTAATGAAACACAACTTGCTCCTCTACAGCTCAACCCTTTCAAGCCTTGGTCTGTGCCTTTCCCTCCCCAGAACAACTTCTTGGGGAAATGAACAGAGCAGAGAGCAGAGTTTTAAAAGATCCAGTAGCTGTGCTGTGTCTCTTTTCCAACAGTGGTACAGCGAGAGTGGCCACTCCTCAAGGTTTCAGCCAGAAGCAGAGAGCAAGGATGAGCCCCAGGTCTGAGCTTAGGAAGTAGACATCATACAATCGTAGAATCATTCAGTTTGGAAAAGACCTCTAAGATCATCAGGTCCAACCATTAACCCTGCACTGACAGGTCCGTGACTTGTCTCTAAGCACCACATCTACAAGTTTTTTGAACACTCCCAGGGATGGTGACTCCACCACTTCCCTGGCAGCCTGTTCCAATGCCTGAACACCCTCTCAGTGAGGAAATTTTCATAGCATCCAGTCTAAATCTCCCCTGGCACAACCTAAGGCTGTTTCCTTCAGGGGTGGGGAGACAGCACTTGACATGTGTGTCAAGCTGTTATACAGTTCAAACACCACACAGTAGTGTTTTCAGTGCTGAAAATACTAAGCAAGGAGCAAAATGTGATTAATCTTATCAGCAATCCATCCAAAAATGTCACATTTGGATACTGGCCCAATTACTTACAGTCCCCTCAATTACAAATTATGAAACCAAATGGTTTGGAAGAACTATTGGAAGCTAATGATCCCTTTTGATGTACTTGTGACAGTCCACTGTGGAGGAAATGATTTTAAGGATAAATAGAGTTTAATGTTTGCTGAAGCACTTATGGAATAACTAAGTGAGAGAAATGGAGACCTAGTTTTACTCACTGGTGTTTGGATTTATAAACCTTTTGCTCTCAGTTAATATCTGGTGATAAAGATACCACTGAATGCCTCATAAATTATGATTTTTATTTCTTTACATCTATAAAAACCAAGCACTTTGAACCCCAAAGTTTGTTTTGGGCACTGCACAATAAACGGAAAACTATCTCTGAACCAACTCATAGAAATTGTAACACATCTCTTCAAATCCTGCCCAGTATTTTCAGGGAAGCACATCAGGCCCGTTCCATTTGAAGAACCAGCTCTATCAGAGCACTGTGCTAAAGCCCTGCTTTGCAGACAGCAATGTGACAGCCACATGGCGTAAGCAAAGGCACTTCTTCAGGAAATTCAACTTTTTTTTCTTTTTTTTTAAACTCCTTTCCCTGTCCTTCCACACAGCAAAACCTTGTAGTTTCAGCTATTCCTTGTTTATTATTTCTGTTCAGACATGATTTGTTTAAAGAGATGTCTGGAAAGCAGATACTTCCTCGAAGCAAAATAACTATATAGATATATATAAAAAAAACAACATTCCAATTTAATTTTAAGAGGATTTTCCTGGAGTTTGCCATTTATATTAGAGCTGAGTAATATAAATGGTTAATATAAACTCCTCAGAAATGCAAAGGACACTTGATCATTAAATGTAATGAACTTCTTTGTTATAACATTTTCAAGGCCAGGGTTGTATAGATTGGCACAGGTTCAAATCTGACTGACTGCTCGTTGTTACATCTGATATCGACATATTTCTCTGCCTCATTCCACTATAATAATCCACCATGCAGTCAATGGTAAATGAACTTCAACTGGGAACAGAAAGCTTAGGCTTGCTGGGAAAACAATCTTAAAATTAATGATGTGTTAGGAGCACAATCTCAAATCCAAAATCCTTCGAACTCTTAAGAGTTTTTCAATCTCTGCTTCCGAATCCAAAACAGTGTCTCCTAAAGTTTTGGGTTTAGGTCAGCTCCAATGCTGGAAGGAAATAATGTAGCAGGTAAAGGCTGGGTTAAAAAATTTGCAGCAGAAGATGTTTTTACATCATTTTGGTTTAAGACAGTGGAAACCTTAGGAGAGGAACTGCCTTCTGGAGATTCATGCCACTCCTGGTGGTGTAATCCTCATGGCACAAGAAGCTCTTGAGCATTTCTGGCACCCTCATTACTTTGAACACCCATGCTAGACTTGTTTTACACTTAATGTCCTTAATCCAGCAACTGTGAATGCCTGCATGGACAAAAGAATGATGAATGGCAAAAAGTTGTCTTTCAAAGGCTCATGTGGTATTTCAAAACAGTATCTCATACTGTGCTGTCAGAGGCAGGATATGAGGCTGGATGGACCGTCAGTTGAGCCCAAAACATATCATACATTCTTATGATATGTACCTTAAATAGATCAGTCTTCTCAGGGAATAGGAAACAATGAAGAGGAAAATACTCAACCAAATTGAACCTCAGATGATGTATCAGAGCTCAGTGACTGAGGAGAAGGTCACAGTACCCCAGGCTAGAGGGTTACTACGATTCCTACACATCAAGGCGCAGCTGAGGTCATGGTCGAGGCAGGCTGGAGAATTTCGTCCTGAGGCTGACTGGCTCAAGTGTTATCTTTGGCCCGCCAGGAAACCCGAAAGTGAAGATACAAGTTTCACCAGACCTTAGAGTAAATGCCCTAAAGCCAACCTCTGCTGACTGATGGTGGTCAAGGCTTGCACACGGGCATGAGAGAAGAGAGCGGTGAAACACCATTGCCTTTGCCAAGTCAAAGGTGACCCATTAGCCCACAGGGCAAACGTCACTGCTCAGCAGCATTGCCCAATCCCCAGCAAAAAATGCCATGAGGCAGAGCCCAAAGCTGCCCCGTCTAGCCCCTGAAGATGGACATGCAGCTGGGTCCAACGTGGCACTCTCTGGTTCCACCAGAAGATGGTCCTGACAATGATGCTGGAGCAGTGACTTTGGCCACTGAGGCCCAGCCAGTCCATTTCTTCTGGTCCCACACATCACCAAACTCCCTTGGGCAAAGAGGGTGATGGGAACACCACAGGGATGTGCCAGCTGCCACAACAGCACTTCCAGGGCAGATCCACACAGATGCTTCTGACGGAAACACAACAACGCCCTCCCCTTAGGAGGGTCACCTCCTCCTTCCTTGGGCACAGAAGGGGTGGGATGATTGTTTAGCACATACCATTGGGGAAGAAGCTATAGTGGATTTGTGAGAGATTTTCCTTGGCCTCCTACACCACAGACCAACTTCCCCATTTGCTGTGGCTGGTGGGGCCACATGTGTCCACAGGGTCCCTGTGGGCCACGGGCTTTGCACTGTCATCCAAAGTACCAAAGCATAGCACATCTTCCCAATCACAAAAAGCCCAGAGCAGATGAGAAACCTTAAAGCTCTGAGGCAGAGTGAATGTGGATTCTTCACTAAAGGAATCCCTCCAAAGCAAGGGAAAGCACTAATATAAAAATAAAATTACGTCTCGGGAGAAGGCCCCCCCTGCCTTCCCGTGCAGCAGCCACTCTGAGCTGGCATTTACACTTGAAAACTTTGGAGTGATTACTGAGAGCAGTCCTCCTTTTGTAAACATTTCTGTTATGCCTGCGTGGGTGTGAAGGGAAGTGCGGCTCTCAGCGTATTCCTTCACAGCAGGGCATATCATGGGTATGCTAAGAAAGCCTGGGCACAGTTCAGCTGAAACAAATCAGCAGGGCGAGGCCTAAACTAATGCACAAACAGCTCCATCCTGTTTGCACTTCCAGATGAACCTCAACAAATTGGGAAATATTGAGTATTGCATATTATTTTGTGTCTGGGTTTTACTGTCTCACTTATAGTCATGAGAGATATACAGGTTTCTTGACCCTTTGTGGTCTGTGACTGACTGTGTCAAATGGACTGTGGAAACTGATGTTTAATGGACAATAAGTGTCTTTAAAAATCAGTCCAAGATTGGATCCACTATATAAAACTAAAATTAAAAATGAAAGAATGAAAAAAAACCTCTAGTGACCCATTCTCCCACCAATAGCATTGACTCTCCAGCACCATGACTTCTCTTCTTTCAATTCTTTCAGAATCACACATTTTGGGTTGGAAGGGACCTTAAAGATCATCTAAAGTTCCAGCCCACCTGCCATGAGTAGGGATACCTTCCATGAAGTGTCAATGGAGAGAAGAAAAAACCTGCACGTATCCCTGAAGAACAAGTTCTACCACTACTTTGGCACTGGATTATGAAGCACAACGATTCACTATAGGAAAAAATCAATTCCTCATTTTCCAAGCTGAGTTACATGACCAGAGCATGATCACAGGCTGGCAGCTCCTCGGCGTACTGTCTATAAAACCCAGACGTCACACGTGTCTCACTCTCATCTAAACCCAGTCATCAGCTCTAGCACTGGCTGCTGCTGTTTGTAACAGTGCTACTGCCAATAGTAAAAAACAAGCTGTCTGGAGCTATCTTTGGTAAACACTTAAAGCAAATATCCTCGCTTCTGATCGTAACAAAAGCAAGATGACTTTCTGCATGAGTAACCCAACTATTGTTGTAACACCAACCCCCCCAGCAAAACAACAACAACAAAATGCAATCTCCTCCTCTTTTCTGACTATTTCTTAGGCATCCTTAAAAGCCCAGAGCTTCATGTGAATTGCCCAGTTCAATCAGTGAAGTCAAATCCAATGGAGTTACACCCCAATGTACAGAAGAGTAATTGGGACCAGATTTTGGTCTGAAGAACCTCTAAACCTATTTCTCCTTCCACCCCTTCAAAAGTCACATTTCTAAAAGGAAAAAAAAAGATAAACTGAATGAATCATGCTCGTAGGGCCACTAAATTGTAAAAGGGGGTGGGTAGGGGGAAATAAAGTTAAAAGAATACTTTAATAGGAGAGATACAAGCTTTACCAAATGGAGGTCCACAATGGCAACTCTCCAGTTGCCTGAAGGATGCAATCCTTTTGCATAAAATACAGCAAGCTGCAGCCACCTTTGGGTTGCACCAGCAATCCCAGCTCTACCACCTCACCTGCTGAGTCTCGTAGCTTTTACTCCACATTACAGTGAGTTGAAGGTATAGTTCACCCTATAAGCCTATTACTTGGACAATTTCTAAATCATCTATTCCAAGCAACTATGTATTTTGTCCAATGTGCTCTCAGGTGGACGCGCACCAGCTATAAAGTGGTGGGTGCTTCAGAGAGCTGGTGGTCCCAGATAAAATACAGCCAACCCCTGGCAGGGCACTTGCACAGTGCTGGTCTAATAACAGCTACACCAATTCTGTTTCAAACCTGTCCTGTACCTGATGGGAGACCCTGCTGTCTGAGGCAGACACTGCACAGATCCATATCCAGAGCCCAGGACAGTGCTGGAGTGAGCATAACTTTCTACCTTCTCCCTGACTCTGCAAAAGGGCAGTGCCTCCAAGCCCTGAATGGGGAATTAAGGATGGCCCAGCTGGTACTATCCTCATCCTCTGAGAGTCAAAGGTGCTTTCTTCTCATGGTCCTCTGAGTAGACTCAGAGCTAACAGTATCCCTGAAACCAGCTCCTGCCTGCTAGTGGACATGTGTCCCCTCACTACCTTCCAGGTTAGTCAGCTCCAAAGCCTTTAAATCTGATTCCTACCACCCTAAAAATTGTGAGAAACGAAAGCATAACATCCCTGAAGTGAATGGGGAGGGGGAAGAGGAAAAGGGAAAAAAAATGTTTCACAGGACATGCCTTCGAGGGCTGTTATTTCAGTGGTGAAAGTCACAGGTTGCCTATAGATCAGCTGGTGCCACAGTGGTGATGGAGCATGAAACCTCACTTAACTCCCACTTTGCTGTCCCTCAGCCCAGCCGATGGGGTCCTCACACCGAACACATTCCTGCCTTGCGCCGTGGCTTTTCCTGGCCTACGGAAGCTAATCCTCACCAGCGTTTTAGAGAAACAAGTTTTCCTCATTTTGTACTGGAATACTGATGCAACAGCTCAGTGTCTGAATGAGAATGTAACTGGATACATGAGCAAGTTGTGTGAGCGCCGTTAGGGAGAGGGAAAAAAATAAAAAAGCAAATATACCGGTATCCAAATGTGAACAGACAGGATTCCTGATTTACGGGCAGCAAGCAGGGCTCAAATTGGATCTGCACTGCCTCAGCAAAGGCATCTGCTTATTGGACCATTTGTTTTTTAATCACCCTTCGATGTAGCTTTTGCTGAATCCTAGTTAAAATGCCATGTTGAATAAGGGCAACTCTGTGCCTTGTCCTGCCACAGTCCGGTCCTGTGGTAGGTTAAGGACTGTGCTGTGATTTGTACAATCTGTACTCTGATACTCCAGGAAAATAAATACAACCTAGACAGACAAAAGAAATATAAGAGTGACCCCCAAAGTGCTGAGTTCTTTCAGGCTCAGGTGTGGGCCAGTCAGGCTTTAAATATTATTTCTGTTTAATCATGCAACAGCTATGCAAGACCTCAAGTGGAACAAAACAAAACCAGTTTATGTGCTTACTAGCAATAATATGGATTTTGTCATAGGAAACCAGTATTTACTGTTCAAGTTATTAGGAATTAATTATTTTCCCTAAATTGCTAGGTAAAAAGATTATGAAATAAAGCTATTTCTAAAGGAATGCTTGGTTAGTTCCAATAAAGGTAATAAAAAATCCCTGTTTTTCAGAGACGGATCTAGTCTCCTTTTAATAGATACCCCAAGGCAGTGTCCACGTTAAGAAGCCAGTGGTATTCCAACTGCATATCCCACCACAACAAGGAAACTGGTGTTGGACACCCAAACACCTCGCTCCCTACCACCACACCGAACAGGCAGATGTTCAACAATTTCCCACGCAACACTCGATCAAAGCAGTGCCTCGTCCACGGCATCACCTTTGTCTCTCATTGGCATGGTTTGTGCAGCAAAGATCATCCCTTCATCCCAGAAGAACTCGGAGGGACCGTCTGCAAAACGCACCCCAGCGCTTTGGTGAAACATCAAAGCACGTAGAGCTTTACAGATTGCAATCAAGGTCCTGAAGAGCACCAAAAAGCTTTGTGGGAAGTCAGTACAATTCACAGAGCTCGCACCCCTGTAACATGCTCACACTAATGGCCTTACTAAATGGGAGGGCTACCAGAGAGCTAACGAGGAGCCTTTGAGGGCTGGGTGTTTGACTTTACTAAACTGAGGAGGAGAATAACATAAGGGTGGGGAATATCACAGCAAATACTGTATCAGACCACTTATTCACTACAAACTGAGTCCTCACCATTTTGGGGGAAATGAGAGCAATTTGGGATGCTAATGTATCCCATGACCCTGAGTTTATCCAACAATAAAAACACATAATCCACAGAGGATGGGAAAGCCAGCCTGCCTCCCTTGGCTCAGCTCGCTTCCCTCTGCCCTATACCAGCATTGCATTTTCCCTCTCTCGATGAAGTCTCAGCTGGTGCTTTGAAGTGCTGACTTAAATTTGCAGAGAAGGCAGCGAAAGCCACACAGCTTTGTTTCCAGTCAGGCTTATTTAAAGCTCATCTGAAGTTTTCACCTCCCGGATCTGTAAATGCTGCTGCTGCTTCATAACGAGGCAGAGAAGTAGTCTATTAATCAAAGCCAGCAGAACTTTTTCTACAGGAGGCATTTATGTGAAGGAGAGCAGCATATGAGGTTACACTTAGTTAGGAAGAAAATTACAAGGGGATCTCAGTTCTTGTGCTTCGGGGCATAAGCTGATCACCAGATGGGGTCAGGAAGAATTTCACCCTCTTTCGTTCCTAGATATAGTGTTGCACAATAGGTAAACTATGGAGGCTCAAGGAAGAAGGAAAAAAGCTGCTTATAGCCTGGATTTCCCCCCCTGCTTTCTTGGGAGCTATGTCCAACAAACACTGCCAGACAGAAGACGGTCGGTTAGAAAAACTATTGGCCTCTATTCTGGCAGTTCTTACTCAGAACATGATACGCACAAGAGCCCTGACTTCACATGTCCTATGAACAAAACACTAAGCCTGGCCAAAAAAACCTGCTCTGAGAAGCTGGAGGGCATCAGGTACCATGTAATGGGTACAACCAACATATTTATTATATTATAAACATTTTACACTAGTTAAAGTTAGACTTCTAGATCTGGGACAACTTTGCCACAGCTCATGGGAGCAATTTTTTTGTTGCAATTCCTTGAGTGCTTTGGGTTCAAATTAACTCACTTACTTCTCTTTCTTACTGCAAATTAATAAACCAGTTGAACTTAAAAAAAAAAAAAGGAGAAAAAGAAAGAAGAAGAAAGCCACAACACTTTGTTAAAACCACTAAGTTTCAGCTGGTATCATGTCAAAACCACTTGAAACATGAAACTAGAAATCTTCCTAGGTTGACTCAAAGATTATGTCTATACTAGGAGTGCTTTACCAGGAAAGGAATGCTGGTGTATAAAGCTGGCAAAGGACTCCTGGTGTAGGTGCAACTATAGCAGCAGAACTGAGTATTAAATGGGTCTAGGAAATTTGAGCCAAGAGTTTTGCTGACAGACTTGCATCCAAGTGAAGCTCTCCAACAGTTCAAGCAATTGGTCAGGGGTAACACCTCTTCACATCCTGGATAGACACAAATATGTCAACACAAATTTTGAGTCTAGAAATGCCCCAAATTAGGTAGAGATTGTTTTGAAACTATTTTTAAAAATGTAACTATCTCTGAATTTAGAAAAAAATTACAAAATTTGTTTATTTTGTTTTGAAACTATTTTAAAAAATGTAACTAGCACTGAATTTAGAAAAAAAATAAAATTGGTTTATTTTGTAGGCTTCACAGTTTTGCTGCAAACTTCTGGCTTAGCTGCAGTTAAACAACTTATTTCAGTCTTCTAATTTGTGACACGTGGTGGGTGCTTTATGATTTCTCTCAGCACAACGAAATCTGTCTCTCAGCATGCAATCATAAATGTTGCATACAACCCCCACAAGCAACCTTTGGAGACTTCTCCATAACCCAGTTCATTTATTGTAACTGTGGTCAGCACTGGTGCTGGAAGGAAACTGCCATGTGAGAAGATTGTATTATTATTCCGATAGAAAGACCATTAAGTGCTGGCTGCTCCGAGTGCAAAATAACAAGGCTGGATAAAAATGTTCATTCTATTATACGCTAATAAGTGCTATTGCAACACGGAGAAGGCAGAGTAACATGGCAATTAGAATTTCTCCAGATTCCTACCCAATTTACCTGGATTGACTATGTTAGATTTATGGCAAAAAGATATTAAAAGAAAAAGAAAGACATTTTCAGCTTCAAGCGCTACAGAAAAATCCACTTCCCACCTAGCTTTACTTGGAAAACATCTCTCACTCTGTAACAGCCTCTTCAACTGCAGCTGAGACACAAATACCCATAAGCAATTACTACCATTGCCTGTGCAAGTCAAACCTATGGTTCTGTCTCTTACCTGTAATCTGACTCTGTCCTTGTGGATTAAAAGGACTTGGTGCAGAGTTCAGAGAGGGCCGTGGGCTCTGGGTCGGGACCCCTACTCTCATACTGGGATGAGGAATGCGCCCTAAATCACTGAGGCGTTCAGAGAACAAACTAGGTTTAGAGTCATCAAGCTTCTGTCTGTGCCCTGGAAACAGCAAATCATAAAATAAAAGCGTTAATAACAAGATGTAGTAATTTAACACACCCCCCCAAAAAACCCCCGAAATGGCCTCTAAGGACCTGTTATTAGATTTAATGGATTTACAGGTATCTCAGCTAACCCTGATAACACAGAAACATCATTGGGGGTTTGTGTTTTGGACATGGTTGTGCTGGTGAAAGCCTTATTGAACACAACGGTGCCCATATACATGTGTAACAGGTTGCAATTTGGATCAAAATAAGCACTTATCAGGACACTCACACAAGGTCTTTTTTGTTGTTTTGGGTTTTTTTCTGCTTTAACTACACAAGATAGTTAAGAGGCAAACTTCCCCTTCCAAAAGCAAGCCTCATGAGTACATACAAGTTATCAAGTGGGACAATTATTCCATGCCTGATTCATATGTTGCGGACCTTTGCAAGCTTTTCTTCTGTCTTTATGTTTTTTCTTTAACTCTATCACAGTCAGTCATTAGCTTTCATTCCTCTGGGATGTTTTCCAAAGAGTCAATAGTCCCTGTCAATCGAGAAGAGCAGTATCCAAGTAAAATCTTCAAAGCTGCTGGCCAAGATGGGTCCTTCACACCCTGTGATGGTCAGCCTTCAGTGCTGCTACTGCTCTCCTCCAAAACAGGCCAATTGCCCCTGGCAATTTTTTGGAACACTCATTTAGGGATGTTTTGTTGTCAAAATGTAAAGTGGGGAAATGCCAAAAGCACCAGGATGCCACCAGTGGCACTGCTCATGTTGTCACTGAGATAGTTCAAGAGCAAAGACTTTATTTCTGTAGTGGTTGTATTTTTGCTCCTAGGTTTAATTTCTTTCCAGAGGAGTTTTAGGATGCTCCTTGACCAATGGCGCCTTCCAATGTGAGGTGCAGAAGGTGTTATTTCTATTATTTAACACACAGAGAAACAGGCATGCATAAAGATTAAGGACAGGACTAATTTTGCTTAACTTCAGCCATTCATAAATCAGGCATCTAGTCTAAACTCTTCTAATGTAGACTTCCTCTTTGGCTAATGGAAAGAAATAGCTACTTCCAGAGGGCAATTCATCTCATTTGTCTCTGACACCCATCCTAAAACAGCATGATTCACCTTCTGAATTTGCTTTCTCTTCCTTCTCTGATCAGAGAGGGAGTACACGTGACTGGTTTAATTAGACACCCTCACCATTAGTCAACATTAAATGGAATGAAGCTTACCCTAAGTCACCAACCAAGGTCACACAAAAAGCCTCTGGCAGAGCTGAAAGGGGGGCCCAGACCCCCTGACTGTGACCCAGAACCACATCTGTCTCCATCCCTGTGAGCAGTGCCAGGGCACAGGCACAAGCAATAACTGAGTGAGTTATTTTAATGCTTTTAACAATAAGAAGGGCCCTTGGAGGGGTTTGGGCTTGAACCCTTCCAGATGATCCCCAGTGGCTTGAGATAATCTGTGTTGTCCCTCAGAAGTGTGAACACAGCCATCTGCCTGGAGGCCACGAGAGTCCAGCTTTGCTGACATGGGCAGATTGTCCCATCAGTCTTTGGGCCAGAGAACCAATTCCTGCACTGGTTAATTTATTTTAGAAGCAGAAATGAGGCCACTTGAGATTGAGCTATCAGACTACCACTGCTAAAAAAAAAAAAAAAGATTTTTAATGGTAGCTGTCACCACAGTACTAACTACATGGGTTCACATCATCTAACTGGGACTATGGTGCCTACATGGCACGTTGGCAAAGCAGTATCCAAATTAGATAAATCCAAACTGAATTCAGGGAAATTGCATTTTTAGACAGAGGAGTCAGATTGCAAGATGAGGAGAAACTTGATGGAATTTAACTTTGGAGAAACTTCTCTAGCAATTTACAAAATAATAATTAGTTGGCCCATTATTTGGTACTTTGAAGTATGATTTCTCTCCCCCAGGATGACTCAGTCTAAAAGCACAGTGATAGGCAGGAGCCTTCTCCTCAAGGAGAAGGTGCTGCTCCATGTTAGAGCTGACATGAGTGTCTACTTCTTGCTTCATGGGGAACGATTTTTGGTGGGCTTGTAAAAACTCTGTAACAGCAGCTTAATTAACAACATAACATCTAACTTGTATTCTTTAGCTTTATATTCTCAATCTATTTAAATTACAACTTGTACAAGTTGGTTCTGCTATATCTGAAGAAATGACTTTCACATACACATGCAGTCAATATTCTCTTGGGATTACTCCATCTTCTTTTCCTCCACAACTTTTATGTGTTTGCTTTTCCTCTTGCCTGTCATATTTTCCACTCTTTTTTTTTTCTTTTCAAGGCATCCTCTTCCCTTCCTCTTTTCTCTTCTGCTCATTCCTAATCATGATTTGGCAAATTGAGCAACCTGGTCTAGTGGAAGGTGTCCCTGCTCATGACAGGGGGTTGGAACGTGATGATCTTTAAGGTCTCTTCCAACCCAAATCATTCTGTGATTCTATGAAATCTGAGAGGGCTCAAAATAGGGCAGACATGATCAGCCCATCTCTGGTCTCACGCACCAGGCCTGACTTCAGCTGGAAATTAATCCATCCCCAAAGTAAATTGTAATTTGAATATTTGTAGAAAAATCCCACATTATGTTCATATAGTGCCCTTTTCCTTAAGGAAAGTCACTAAAAGTCACTGAAAGTCACTAAAAGTCACTAAGAAACTGATGCACAAGCTATTTTAACCATCTTCAGATAACTCAATGAACACTTATTACAGAGTTCACCACCACTCCTGCACCAACCTATGCCCCAAACCCCCCAGCCCTGTTTTCATCACGCTCTGTTTGGTCATGCATAGCTCTGCCAGAGAAGATTTTATATTTAATTATGTATATTATTTTTATAATGAACTAGGACTGTCACAGAAAGACAAAATTCAGGAGGATAGCAGTGCACTTTAGGGTAGGCATGGTAAAAAAAATGGGGGGGAGAAAGAAGAGGGGAAAAAAAAAGGAGAAGGGAAAAAAGAAATAAGAAGAAAGATCCCCACATCTGGTCAAACTGAAATGATCTAGAGATGTGTGGGTTTGGGTGTTGCCGCCCCTGCCCCCCCCAAAAAAAAAAAGAGCAGGAAAAGAGAGCTCTGTGCACATCTGGAAGACCCCAGGCATCAATGGAACTGCAAGTCCCCAGAAAGCAGCAAGGGGCCAAAGGCAGACTTGCCTTCCCCTTCTGGACATTTAAAATTTAGGGTTGTAACACGGAGTCATGTTGTGACAAAGAGATCCACAGAAGGAGCCACACTCCCCCAGTGAAATGTCCCAGGGAGACAAGATGACATTGCAGCTTCGCATGTCATGGGTTACTCTGCTTTGATAAAAGCTGAGACGTGCTCACACTGAAAGTCAGCAGGAAACTCAGCAAAACCTTCATATTCAGGAGGTGCTCACAAAGGCGTGTGGGCAACTTAAATATCCTGCCTTGATTCCTGTGCAGAAAAAAAAATCCTATTAAGTACAGAGAAGCCATGAGGTATTGGCTGAAAACAGCCTAAGAAGACCTTCTGAGTAGCACATAAGCAGCAGCAATGAAATATGTGATACATGTTTAAAACTCATTCCACAAGCTGCTTTTCATCTCTCATTGATATATGCGTCCGTTGACAGAGAAATTCCTGATCCCAGGGGAGTGTGCTAAGAAAAGCTGTATTCCTCAGTCTCAGTATTGAGGCGTAATTTTATTTCAGGAAAAAAGATTAGGGTTGCAAGTGTGGAGAGCTGAGGGAGAATCCATGATCTGCTGCAGCAGCGGGTACATTAAAAAGCAATATAAAATCTGCGTGAAGAGTAGAATAAAATAATGCTGCAGCTATCCCAATGCCTGTAACACTGCATTTAGTGCCTGTTGCTCTGTTACAAAGATTAATTTGTGGAATGGATTGGACTTGGAGAGGGGAAAAATGTTTATGGGCACAGGCAGTATTCGATATGAAATGTGGTCAGAAAGATGGAGGCTGTTCCATGAGTCTCTGAATAAGGATGGGACTCAGTAGCCTCTGGAACTGGTTAGGTCACAGGAGAGGAGATAGGAAAGAGATGAAAAAATTGAGAATTCATAGGCAAAAGCTAAACAAGCTGTTATGATTTGTCTGCTGGCACAGTACAAAACATGCTGGATATCAGAAATCCATTATTCACTCCGAAATGACAAGACATATTCTGATCTTTCGCCACTACTCAGCTATTTCAAGCCAAATACCAACCTAAGTATTAGTTTCTGGAGACAGAAGCACTGCCATTAATCCCTTCCAGTGCCAATTTTGGCCATTTTACATGAATCAAACCAGAAAACAGTACTGAGAGAGTGTCATTAGGTCAGTGCAAACTGCAGCCAGCCAGCCAGTGCTTGAGCTGCTGCTTCTGCTCACCAGCCCGGGATGGCCCCAGAGTATGTTCACATGGCCCATGGAAGCTGATTTTCAATTATCACATCCCAGACACGGCAGAAGATGTGAGGAAGCTTCTTCTCCTTCTTAATCATTTCAGTTTAAACTAAGCAATGGAATGTCTCCCAGATCAAAGCAAGGCAATCTTGAGTCTGCTGGATGTGGTAACTGGAGAGGGACGTGAGCTCGTCTCTCATCCCTGAACTTCCAGCACTCTGCTGGAGAAGGCAAGATGTAAATTGGGCCATGGAAGAGGCTGACTTGCAGAATGTAAATGTGGTGTTGATGCTTGAAGATTTTTACCTCCTCGGGGAGGAGGGGTGTGTGTTTTTATCTTTCAGCTTGTGGGTGTGGAACTGAAAACTAATCAGATTATGCTACACGTGGCCTTGCCAGATGCTGACACTCAGGGACTCCCTTTCTTTGTACCGTATACACCACCCACCAGCTTTTTTGTGTGGGTTATTTTTTTCTGGTACCAAGGAGATCTGGTTACCAGATTTTCAGCAGATGCTTTTATCACTCTCCAGTGGGTTAGCTATTTTCAGTCATCGCCCAGTTCTAACTTTTCTTGCTTTTGCCTTAACAAGG